CAAGCCCAAGAGCATAAACCCATTTATGTTTGGTGTTTCTAAAGCCCAGAATGAAAGAGGAGCTTTTTCTACCCACACTGGGAAGGTATTTTGGCCATAAAAAACACTCCAGTCCAAAGCAGCAGGTAAAGGAAGGGCAAAGACAGAGCATCCAGGAGAGGTCAAGGTCAGTGAGATGGTACACAGGACCCTGCACTGCTCATCAACCCTCTCCTAACTCATTATTTTCCCAGAGAAAATCTGTCAATGCCTTACCACTTGACTAAGGTGGAACCCTTAATTAACATTTGCAAATTATTTTCATATCCCCAAGGTAAGAGGTGCAATACAAATATGTGGCATTATAAAAGAACAGCCCTTACGCCTGAACTCCTTTAGTAGTGCTGAGTGAAAAGAATTACTTAGAGAATAAAGAAAATAGTAAAACCCAGACTTTGAAATGTCATCTGCATTTTTGACCTCAGAAATATAAAAGTATATTTAGCTGGGAGTCACTTTAAATCAGCCTGTCCTTTGGCTTTGCTGCTTGCCAGAGCTGTTATCTGCAATCCTGTTTAACTGGCAACTTTCAAATGTAATCGAGGATGTTCTCTTCAAAGCACAGTGCTTTCTCAGAAGGGTTTTGCACTTTAACAAGTTGGCTTCTGATGCAGTGAACCATGACCTCTGTCCTGTTTTGGGTAAAGATAAAGCTAACATGGAAGGCTCTGGCATTCTTTAAATGTCCCAGCTAAATATACTTTTATATTTCTGAGGTCAAAAATGCAGATGACATTTCAAAGTCTGGGTTTTACTATTTTCTTTATTCTCTAAGTAATTCTTTTTACCTGCAGAGATCAGCCCACTGCTCACAGGAGGTTCCTGGGCTTTCTCTTTGAACTGGGCTTGAACCAGCAGCTGATGGCAGAGCTGTCCTGCATTCCTCCTTCAGAACAGGGCACGAGCAAATGGCAGACAATGACAAATGACATTCAACTGTAACATCTTCTTTTTGTGTTATTATTAAAAAATGGATTTTGTGAGTGCCTTTGGAGTTCCACATTCTCCAGGGCAAATTTCTGCTCTACATCACACAAGTATAAATCTGGCATAATGCCAGTGAAGTCAGAGGAAATATCTGGGCATTGCACAGACCATTTTGAGCTGAACTGGTTAAGACTGATCTAATTACAAGAAGGGACAAGCAGATACTCTGCCATTAGTAAAGGGGTGAGGGGAACACAGTAGGTTACATATGTTGCTTTGATCAAATTTGACTTTATCACATGCAAGTTGGAGGTTTTTAGGCACATAAAACTACTCCCCAAAATATTAAAAATAGTTTTATACATTTTATACATTTTTGCCTTTTCTGCCCTAAGGTACCAGTTTATATTTCCAATAACCATATGTACATGAATCCTAAATTATATGGCAAGCAGAATTTCAGTTTGGTGGAACAAGCCATGATCCAGGTAATTGCCAATCTCCGATTGACTAAGAGGTCTGTTCATCTTAATTGCTGCTAAGAGTTCACACCCATAAACATGGATGTTTATTTCCTCTCCTCACTATTTGTCTGGCTTCTTATTTCAACTGGGAAACATATGGAGAGGTAAAACATCATCTGCTGTGATACACACACTGTCTGGGAAGGAACTCTAATGTTTCACATTAATGCTGTCTCGTTCACAAGCCAGATCCTATTCTAAGTGAACTAAAATCCTCAATAATTGCCCTAAAGTCCTGTTTACACCCTTGTGACCATGAGTCAACAGTCCTGGGTCTACCATTTGCTTATGAAATTAAACTCACATTTCCTGGACTCATCCTCTGTGAAGCATAATTGGGCAGATGAAGAACTTTCAGATGTGCAAGACAAGCAGGTAAATATTAATTAATACTCAAAAATGCCTTTACCTGACACAACCTTGTGACACTGACAGTTCTGCAATTAGCAATAACAGTTCTGACCTGGAGAATTTCTGTGAATTTGCAGCTTCTTTTCATTCAACCTTCAGCCTGCCACAGACTGCATAACCTAATGGAAGTTTGAGTAAACCAAATCCAAATAAATTCTAATACAATAGAGTTGTAAAGCAAAAAAAAAACAAAAAAAAAAAAAAAAAAAACAAACAAAAAAAAAAAAAAAAAAAAAAAAAAAAAAAAACAAACAAAAAAAAAAACCCAAAAAAATCCCTCATCCTCACATTTTTTTTTCCTGCATACCTGATGCCTACTCCATCTTGTGCTCCTTCATATGATGCATTTTTCCTACAGAGTTAATTCTGATCACTTGGACTCAGCCAGCTGTGTGGAAGCTTTCAAGCTTTGATGCACCACGCTGTAACTCTGACAGAGCAGCCAACAAACTGACCAAGTTGGCATGACAGAAACACAAGCTCAAATTAAATCCTGTTGACTTAGCAGGAGCCTGTGAGGAGCAACCCCTGAGCTGGCAGTGAGCAGCTCACTGAATCCACTGACCAGAATATTCAACAGCTTGTCTAAGAATCCTCCTCTCCCTGCTTTGGAAAAGTTCCCTGCTAACCCTGAGATTACTGACAGGTTTATTTTTCAATGAAAATAGTTCAAAATGCAAATATTTTTTCCTCTTTTGAATCATTCTTGATACTATATTTTCAAAGGTTTTCCTACTCATTAAAATAACAAAATCAGTTGTGTTTGGTTGAAGATTTCTGTATTCACCATTCAGTTCTTCAGCTTACACTGGAGTCTACAGACAGCAGATTTTAGAGGCAAGAATCAGATCTCTCTCTGCAGTCAAACACCAGGATGCACACAGCAATGGGGTTAAATTATAATTATTGCAGTAATTAAAGTAATCCCCCATAATGAGAGAACATCACAGGAAATTAAATAAGCTGACACAACAGAAAGTTTCTTATTCCTTTATGCAAATGAATTCAGGTAATCATAGCCTAAAATTTCTTCCATTGTGGGCACACATCTGGTATTTCATCAGTTTTGAGAAATGAAGTGTTTTCTTCCCTTGGCTGCAGCTCCTCGCTGGTCTCTCTGGGTCAAATAAATCTCCAGAAGGGAAGATGAAGCCTGTGGCTTGGGTTATATATAACAGACAAGTCACTGGGTTGACCTTACCTCCAAACAAACACTGAAAGACATTTTTCTCACTGAAGGATAAAATACACTAACGTGGAGGCCAAAGATTTCTTTGTCTTCTCAGATGAAGAAAATTCCCTTAAAATCCCTGAACCTGCATGAGCAGTGACTCTGCACTGCACAGAATGGAGCCACTCCTCCAGAGGTGCTCCTTGGGAAGTGCACTGGAATTCATTAGAAAAAAAAGTTTGAATTCAGCTTTGCTGATGACCTATTGCATTTTACTGAAGAATTTACATACACAGAAAAGTCTGCCATAAAATAAACAAATGCTGTATCAATTGAGCTTCCCAAAACCTGCAAGAGTGTGACTGGATACCAATAATCCCACTTTTCTGAGGGTGCTGTTACACTGCTGAGAAAGAACAAAGCAAAATGCTGTAAAAACACCTTGGAAAGCTGAATCCCATTTTTTTGCAGCCTTGTACCACACCAGTATTTTATTTTCAGACACCAGCCATTTTTCTTGATTTCCCAAGATCTCTCAGGTGTTTCTGCCACTCAACAATTACTTGCTCCTGGCCAATTTTTTTTTCTCCCTTCCAGACCACAGTCAGCAGCATCCCTAGACTGTAACTTTGCTTTATAGCCTCGGGCCAGTTATGAAACTAGTGCATTGTTGCAGTGAGAGATAAATGATTCCAAGGTACCAAGGAGGAGAAGGGCTTGGGAAAAGCTGTCCAACTCTGAAAAAAACCCCCAAGCATGCACATCTTCCAGAAGTGATGGGAGAAAAGTGGCTTTTTCTTACACAGGGATTCATGGGATGCCCTCTCCTGTTGCCAGGTTTACCTGACACAACAGGCACTGTGCCTGAAACAGAGATGTTGCCAGGCATTATCTTTTTTTTTTTTTTCTAAACTAAACAGATGAAAATTTTAAAAATGCAGTGTGAAGAGGTGCTCTCTGAATCACATCTAGTGAGTATAGTCACAGAAAAGTGCAGGAATTTTGAGAGCTGACCAAAGAGCTTGAAAACTGGCCTTGAAATATGAGAGTCGAACAGAATCAATGAGCTCCTTCAGCAAAGGAGAGGTGAGAGCTCAGCCTATTACTCTGATAATCCCACAGAGAAATGGTGGCAGCTTTATTCCTGTGATCCTGTACTCCTGAGGCTCTTCTACAAGATGCACTTCCTTGGAAAATCTCTCTAGTGTGGTGTGTTCAGGATCAAAACGTTGATTCATGGGATAGGCAATCCTGCTGAGTTTTCTCTCTTTGCCCCCATGAAATATGCTCTGCTTCCACAATATTTCATCTCCTGAAATCCTAATCATTGCTTTCTCTGTGGTGAGATGGCTTAGTTCTGGGTCGCTTCTATAAAATTCTGAAGGACCAACTTGGATTTGTTAAGGCAGGGGAGCAAAGTGGGGATGTGCACTCCCTATTTCCACTGATGGAAAGGGATGACTGAACAGCAGCTTGGATTGCATGATTGTGCTCTTTCCAGTAATTCACATCTATGGTACAGCAAAGAAAAACAGACAAAACTGGTACAGGGATACACACACAATTCAATAAAAATGTTTCTAACTAACTCTAGAAACAGATCACTAACACACAAATAGATTTCTCCACTCTGCACAGCCTTTAATAGCACTCCCCAGAGAAATTAATTTCCTAGATAAACACATTTTTTTATAAATAACACTAATTCTATTCTGACAATTTTTGTGTTTAAGTAGAAAATAGAACTGCTACATATTCATTAGACATGGATCAGCTCTAAGTGTTGTGCCATACCATTAATATTTATTTCAGTCTCTTTCTTCTCCTGTAAGAAGCAATACAATTTTTCAAACCATCAGTTCACATTAAAAAAATGGGAAAAAAAACCCAAAACATGATAGGTGAAAATGAAACACACAAGGCCTTAATTCAGTGAGTAATAACTTACATAATTTAATAAAACAGGACAAGAGTTTTCTCACTGAGGTCAAAAGAAATAATCACATGCTTTAAGTCAGCTCTGTACCCACAGACCTCGCTGCCATTTCCCTTTGATTCTTACTTGGAGGGGGGATTACTGGAAAATTGTTGTCCCCTGTTGCTGTCTCAATCTTTTGCTGGAATTTATCAGGACAACAGAATGAGACCCAGGGTCTTCTCCCAACATTCTGGTTTATTTGCAGCAGCAGCACTTATTACACACCAGCCTATGGCTGGGACAGATGAGGTGAACACAACACTCCTTTCTGCCAGCCTTGGGAATCCTAAGCAGCAAATGAAGAGGTTAAAGCCAGGAATGTCTCTGTGTATGCAGCAGTTGGCTGAAATTAATCACCTGGACAAGAAATCAAGAGTCTGCCAGTGCCCTTTGTGAAATTAAGAGCAAGAAACTGTACACAAAGCAACTCAGCACAGCAGCAGCGAGGTTTAACGCAGCCTGGATGTTATTTTACCAAAAGAGCAAACTGCATAGCAAAGATTACTGAGAATTAGTCCTATTTTCTAAATACATTTGGTGTTTGTACAGAATGTTCCATTTCCACTGGGAATGCCTACTAGATACCTGCAGAACTTGAAACAGATTTGTGATCCCCAGGACAGCCAGCTGCGGGAAATGATTTACTGTGAACACACCACTCACAAGAGGAAGTTATGCCAAGGATTTACTGTAATTTCATATAAGCAAAAGAAAACACTGCCTTTTGAAGGGCATCACAGAAAACTATCTTTTCAACTGCTGAAATGAAAATAAATGCCTTTTTTCACATCAGGACACAGTAACAACCTCTCAAGCATTTCCACATAAAAGCTTCTTAAGCTTTGAAATGGCATATTTAAGCTAATTGTTGTGTGCTAAAAGAAACAGAAAAGACAGTAAAAATTGTGTTCCTTCTCTTTACTTTTTCTCCATTATAACACTCAATGTCTTTTCTTACATAATTACCAAAACTGAGTTCATCTACTTTAAAAATATAAGAACTGAAATATGCATTTACCTTTTGCTGTTCCTTTTCTACCCCCCTCCTTTTAAGCTATAAAATCATGTTCTGAAGCCACTAAAAGTAGAGTGACATCTGTGAAATGATGCATTTTGTTTCTAATGCATGCACTCAGCTGCAGATTTGACTTTGAAGCACTTAATTTTGAAATATCTAAAATAATCCCATGTCCCAGGAAAATGGCACTAAAGTATTCAGAACCTTCTTACAAAAGGCTCATGGTGAGAAAAGGACCAGACACACCTCATCCTTTTCAGTTCTGCTTGTTACCAACTTCCCTGTCCCCCAGAAACCACACAGCCTCTTTGATCCATACAGCCCCAAGGCTCACATGTCCCCAGAGAGGAATTCAAAAGACAGGATAAGAAAAGTTTTAGAATGAACTGTCTCAGACAGTAGATAAGGTAATGGGATGCAGAGTGGAAAGGCCAGATACAGAGCTGTAGGCTAATATTAATATGTCTGGCAAGAAGAAAGCTATTTTGTGTTTATGTTTCAATTTCCATTGCCTCATTTTCTGTCCTCCTCATTCTGTTCCTGTTAACTTCTGGGCAAGCTGCACATTCCTTTAGAGCTCAGAGTTTGAGCAGAAGATTGCTCCAGCATCCACATGGAACAATGTGACATGGAGACGTTGGGGAGAGGCTGCAGCTTTGATTTAACCCACTTCTTGGAGCTAGAGGTGAGGAGGGATGAGGATTAAAGTCCCAGACATTCACATCCACAACAAAACCATAAGGGGCTTCTCAGGCAGCCATGCTAAGACTTTCTCTGAACCATGGCATTGTCTCCAACACTTCCCCAAAACAAGAATTGCAAAATATGGGGCTTTTTCTTGCAAAGTAGTCCTTTTCTTCTTGAGCACTGCAACCACTCACTGCCAGTTACCAACCTCTTGCTCTCCCTGTTTGCACCTGGATGATCTTAGCAGCTGATGGCAGAGACAGAGATGAGGCATCTCCTCACCCAGAGCAGACATAAGCACTGACATGATAAACCTGCTTGCCTCACATGCCTTCAACTATTGGTGATTTACTTAATCAGGCCTTACAAAGAAGACAATTAAACTCATGGCTATTAGAAACAATGACTGCTTTTTAATAGAGACAATATTTTTGCCCAGGCTGGCTGAATCTATTCACTGTCTCTGTGATGTCCCTCTGGCTGTATACTGCAGTCACACCCTCACTTTGCTCCTGTAAGGCCTTTTTAATTAAATTAACACGACTGCAAACTCACTCCTTGACTCTGCCAAGCAAACAGCATGACCCTGCTCATTAGAGCTGGGGAGCCATTCATGCACAGAGTAGCAAATTCACCATCTATTAAAATAAAAAAATAAGGTATCCCAAAACTGGAGGAGTTACTCAAAGTTTTACTTTGCTGGCAACAGAAATATATTATAAAGTGAAAAGAAAGGCAGCCAGCTAGGCAGAGACATTAAAGGGAGACAAATTCTGAAGCCCTTGTCAAATTCACAGAAGCAGCAGCAGCACTGGAGCACTCAGGGCCAGGCTATGGTACCACACTTCCACAGACTGAAGACAGCAAGACCACATGGAGGACAGACAATACTCAGCTCAAAAAGCAGGACACACTTTTGCATCAGGACTTTCCCCATGAACAACACTCGTTTAAGTGAGACAAATCTTTCAATCTGTGCCACAGGTATATTTTAAATGGTAAATCACAGACACATTTTCCGGCCAGAATACCATAAAATTCCTATTAACTACTACTGCTTCAGCTACAATCTCAGTACTAACTCTTCTAGTAATCTTAGAAATATTGTATACACATTTTTCCTCTTGAGATATCATGACTGTCAGTAACTGTGGTCCAGGATCATGGGTTATTTTCCTCTACCAAAAATACATTTTGCTGTGGATATAGCTCAATTCTGAAATCTGGTAGCTCTGGAATGAGCATGTTAGTAAGAATAAGGAAGTTAAAATGAGTATTTCCCTAGGTTCCCATGGGAACACATCTCCAAATCTGGATAGTTTCAAGATACTGGTTTAAACACTTATTAAAGCATAACTAAAAAGGCTATTCCTGAAATTTTCAGTGGCTTCCCATTTACTATTCACTGGAACTACAGGCTCAAGGCACACAGAACCATTAAAGCATGGGGCAACTTGGGAAAAAGTATACAAGTGAGGCCCAGCACATTGGGAAAGCACTGGGAAAGAACCTGAGGAGTTGGAATGTTTGAACAGATAGCTCAAGTGTTTAGGAATGGAATGGGAGTGACACTCACCATTTCCATTATGCTTATTGCATAATGTGTTCATGGCTTTATTGCACTCTTCACACTGTGTTTCCCAAGAACACTTCCTGCTGCCTGCCATGGGTTTGTCCAGCCACTCCCAACTGCAGCCAAACACACCTGCTACCCAGCTGCTAAGGGAAATTCCTTCTGTAGTTCAATAGGAGTTATGTGGGGGGAAGTTTGTCATTTATTTGAGAAAAAAGAAATTCTGCCTTTATTTCTGATGCACTGGGGAAGAGGAGAGGATTCCAGGAAAAAAAGCTAAATTAGTGAAGGTGAATTAGTGGACTTGGCACTGCTGGGGTAGTGATCAGGCCTGATGGTCTTCAAGGTCTTTTCCAACCTGAATGATTCTGTGCAGATTCCTGAACATGAACAACTGCATTCCATCTCTCCCTGTGCTTTCCATATGCATCAGGACTTGCAGCATAAACCACAACTTGTTCATGCCCACAAGATGCTTTTTCTAATTACCATTTCATTCTTCTCCAGTGACTAGACTATGGAGCAGATCCTATCTTCTCAGGATCACAGATCTGTTAGCAATAATTACAACAGACCAATTGCAAGCTAACCAAAAAACTGATGGAAATAGAATTCTTTTGAAACTAAAAATATCAGGGCCTCTTAAATGGAATAGCAAGAAAGGCTTGGTGAGCATTAAACAAACAGATGAGATTAAGAATGTGTTAGACACTTACAACACTGTATCCAAATGCACCCTATAAATAGAGAAATTTCTCAATTGGACTGATTTTTAAATAAACAAATCCCTGAAGATGAAAGGAGAATAACAGAATTGTATCTACTGTGCTACTTTTCAAAAATCAGGAAGATAAAATGAGAACGTAATCTAGAAAACCATCGGGATAACATAAACTAGAAAAATACAGATTCAGACAGTAAGAGAAACTGTGTTCAATTAAAGTCTTTGATCATTCAAAATAAGTATACTGGAAAATGAAATTTTCTGCTTTATTTTTATTTCTTTAGGAAATAATCTCTTTCTTCTTTGTTTCTACCCAAAGTACCAAAAAACACACCCCAAAAAGAAACAAAAATCTCCCATTGTTACCTCACTGGACACAAGTTTTTCTCCCATCCCTGAAATCAGAATTTCTTGCATCCATTACTTCATCCATATTGTACTTTAAATATGCTGCTGCTATAGTGCTCTAACATTTCAATTTGCTTGTGCTATTTTCAACATAGGAAGAAAACTGAATAAAACATAGGAAGTTAACTGAATAAAACTAAGTCTATCCTCCTTCTAAACAAAACCTTCATTAATCTTGCACAGACTTCAGTTTCTTATTGTGCAGAAAACAAAAATAAATCCTAAAGATATCTCGAAGGGTATCCTGGAATGAGGAACTCCACTATATTTATTTTATTTCTTAGACTGAAAATAAGTTTGGAACCAAAGTTTAATTTACCACCTTTTTGTAAGATGCAGGCACAAACTAACTATCTTCAGGGATTGTATATACTTAAAACTATTCCCTTAGGCTGATATTTCAGACTTAAAATATTAGCATCCTTCATATACTGCATTCTAGGAACATTTGACTGGAGAATAATCTGCAAAGGAAAAACTATGGTAAAATGAATATATCCTGAAACTAATTTCAAGAAAGCAAGTTGCCACACCACATTCTTGGGTCCTTTAAACTATGAGAGTCTTCTCATCATGGTATTTCAGAATTTGATTGCCAGCTGCAAAGAAAAAGAAAATTCTTTTGAAGCATATTTATCAGACATTATTGTATATAATTTTTTTATTGATGAATTCTCAACAGCAGCCATCTTGTACCCTGAAAGTTCTTTAAAAGTCTATAAAAATTTGGCATCAGTTACAGTGTGCAAGAAGGAAAATAAACAATCAATAAACAGTTAGCACTGGATATTTTCAGTGCACATTCTAACCCCAGGAAACAAAAGAACCAATTCTCTTGTGTTACAGTTTGCCACCTTCCCAGCAGAGACCTGTAGATTTACACAGGAGGCGAGACAATCCCAATCCAATCTTCAAACATCTCAATCATCCAGTCTTTTTCCTTGATCCAACTTATCACTTTTCCTCACAGATCACAGCAGTTTCACCAGGATGCTCTGTCTTCAGTTTTTTCCGAGCTGGCTCTCCCAGGAGCAGGGCTGTGCAGTGCTCCAAGGACTGGGCAATGTCATCAATTGTCCACTTGTCCTCGTGCAGGGCGTGCTCCTCCAGCGTGAACGGCCCCTGCTTGGTGCGCGTCAGCTCCTGCACCGAGGCACAGGTGGAGAGCTCTGCAGCAAAGGAGGAAAGAGGGATTGGACAAAGCACATGGATAAACTTCCAAAGTGTAACCACTTCCAGCTCACTTGGAATGTATTTTTGTACATAGCCTTTTGCATTATTCTGCTTTGTTTGACAAGGAAGGTCATGAAGATTTACAAAGATTTATCACCCGTTTATATTTTCTTAAATTTGACCCAAGGATCTCCTTTGATTTCAATAACTGTCCAGTGTAGTAAAGAGTTCAGAATCTGCCAGAAAGCTGTCAAGAATTTTCCCAGATTTAGATCAGAATGGAAAGTGAGGAAAAAATGTCATAAGATGTAAGCAGAACACACTGCATTCTCAAGTGACCATGAACTATTTTTCTACACATTTTGAGGCCTTAGCACTTCTTGCCTTCAAAAGGTATTTTTAACATTTTTACCCTGTGCTGCCTACAAGTATAACAGAAACTAAGATAAGGAAAAATAAAAAAATATATACAAATGTTCTCCTATGTTAAATAAATACCAGCAGGACATAATTACTTATCAAGAAGCTACAAAACATAACAGCAACAAGCACTGACTTGTAAGCATACAGGTACACTAAAATATTCTCTCCCATCCTTTGTGATGAAGGAAGGTTTTTATTTCATTTTAAATTTTTGGAAAGAAGCCAGTTACGGACAGACTTTATCTTGGTTTTCATTAAAGGGCTAAAGGCAGTAACAGAAACTTGGACTAGCCTAAGCACAAATAACAACATTGAAATTCATAGGGTTACCCCATATTACTTGCTTTCCTGCAAATGTAACATTTAAAAAAAAAAGTTAGAAATGGATTATCTATTCTCCATCATGCAGTTTGATAGATACAGAGCACAAGACAAATAACCCTGTGGGAAAGCAAAACTATTCACTGCTCAGGCAGAGGAGAAAGAAAACACTCGAAAAATCATCACCAGTGTGCAAGTCTTTCCAGCAGATAGGGTTTATTATGTACATAGTAATGTTCTGTGCAATCTGTTTTCAAAATGTGATGAATAATGTTTAAAAAGACAGTATCTTTCTTCTTCTCATCCTTAATCTGAGTTAGCTTTAACACATGAAAGAGGGAGGAAAAAAGTCCCCCCTTTGCCTTGCATTATCTTGCTCAGTGCTATTGCTTGCTCTATTTTTATCAGCCGGCCCCCAAGGTCCCTGGCAATTATTTAGCCATCATTCCCCCATGCCCCTAAGGAAATTACCTGAGTATATAAAAACAAGAGATAGCACTACAGTTCTGCAAAATAACACACAGGTCTAGTTACTTGAGATATACAAAATGACAAATTTTTTCCATAAACACACACTTGTTCCTTACATTGTCATGTATTTTTTTTTCATGCCTACCTTTGCCAATGTCATTGACCAGGCTCCTGACATAAAAGCCACCACCACATTCAACATCTGGAATGTTAAAAGTGACATGGTAAATTGCCAGTGCCATGTGAAATCTACTTTACATAGAAGCCATGCCCTGACATAAATGTAGAAATGTGCTAAGCAAACAACCCAGTGATAAAATATTTATAGGATGCAACATCAATTATTCATCCTGGAACATATGTGAGGGTGAAATTGCTAAGCTAGACAGGAGGGAAAGCAAATAAAATGGCAACTATACTAACTCACCAGAATTTAAGTACTGGCTATGGTATGTTAAGAAATGCTTCACTCCTAGTACTTTTAAGCATTTCAGTTGACTCCGTATTTCTAATTATAAAAGCAAGTTATTTCAAGTATAGCCTAAACTGACTGTCAGTGCTTTTCAAATACTGCAGACAGGCAGCTCCATTAAAATTTTAAAATTCACCTTTAACTTCCCCTGCTCTCTCAGCCCTTTCCTTCCCCCTCTGCCAGTGATCAGCTGCTTGTCAGCCAGCCATAAAGTAAGAGATGAAGTCACACAGCACTGAGTTCTGTCACTCATACCTGCTCATCATAAAACATCTAGTCCATCACAGGACTGGGGATCAACTGGGCAGATAGATCAATGCCAGGCATCATCTTCACCTTAGAGTAGCATTAAACATTTAGAAGAGTCTTTTTTGGTTTATTTATTAATATGCTTCTTAATGTACTACCAACTTTCTTGATGAATGACAGAAGGAAGGATAAGATCCTTCCTCCTCAACAAGAAAGGGGTCTGACAATAACTGCAACTGGTCCTGGAAGAGATGCCAGCAGGTCTGGGAATCTGTCTGAAAGAATGGCAAAGTGAAGGAATCAGACCTGAGAAAGGAATGAGCTGGAGGCTGCAAAATCGTGGACAGATGCAAATAATCCCCTGACCAGTCTCTCAGAATTTTGCCTCACTGAAAGATTAGATGTAATCAGCTTAACTTAAAACCAAAATACAGTGCTTTTAATACAAAGTGAAAGTCTCTTCACATGGGCTCACACCAAAATAAGCAGCAGAGTGAAATGAAACCCATTTCACTCTCCTAGCCCCATTCTGAGTGTAAATAAACATTAACAAGCTGGGAGCACTGCTCTATGTAATAATCTTTGACCTTTACCCAGCGTGAACAGTGGTGGCTGGAACTGCTGGAGAGAAAGGCTGTACACTCTCACTGGCCGAGCAGGCTTTGCTTCCACTGCTTCCCCTCTCTTCATCAGAGTTGAAAGCCTTTCTCCATCCTTCTTCAAAGCAGAATAGCTGATCAGACAGAGCATGAAAATGTGTGTCATACGGTTGTAATAGAACAGGCTTCCCATTCTCCAGATCCTGGTAATATTCTACTAGGGTAGCACACATTTTACTGCTCTCCAAGTACTCACAAAAACCCACAAAAACTCAGCGAGTGCTGCTGAAATCTCTTGGACACGGAATCATCCCATTTACCAGTAGCTACATAAACCAGAAAACAAGAGTTGGCCTTGTATTTCTCTCTTGCTGTACAGATTTAAAAGCATTTTATCACTCACTTTGCAGTTTATGAAATAAAAGAGTTTCTATAAGGGTTACAACATTGCAGCTGCCTCTAGCATCTCGTGTCTCAGAAGTCAGCAGTGTTTCAGTGTTATGTCGAGCTGAGCATGGGGAGCCACTCAGGCAGCTCCTGTAATTTTACATTGCACCTTTCCTTGTCCCACAGCAGGGTCTTTCCTGAACAGCAGCTGCCACATTACAGGATGTTGAGGGAACCACTACAGACCCACAGAAATTGATTTCACTGATTACATGGAACTTTACCAAATCTCTAATTTTAGTCACGATAGAAAGATGAAAAGAAAAACAGAAAAATCCAAAAGAATCTTGCTCACAATATTAGAGGGCAATTTGAAACAGGTCACATAAAGCAGTACACATGCAGCATTACTGACCTCACAGGGCTCACACTGGAACAAAGTAAGTGACACATGGCAAATGCAAAGGAAAGCAGGCTAGCTTAAACCACCATAAAAGCCATCTGTCACAAGCTAAGTCACACACAGTGCTAGCTACTATGGCTCACCTGACCAGATGAAATTTGCTAAACTACAGAAGCTCAGTCATTAATCACTCACTCAAACTCTAAGTTTCCAATAAACTAATTCAAAGCCATTTAAGGCACTTCTACAAAGATGTCAGTGAGACTGGAAGACAGAAGACAAGCCCTGCAAAGTTCTTGAAGACTTTTACTACTTTACATTTACCAAAAACACCTACAGACTCCAGGTCACCATTTGTGCTGGGTCTTCAAACGTGCATGACCTGCACTTGCAAATGTTAAACTCCTGACTGCCTGGCCTCAATCCTCTTGTCAAAATGTGTCTTAGTACTTCTGAGAGAGCTGACTTCTGCTGGCACGTCCTGACAGCCAAACACAACTGTCAAGAGTGTCTGAATAGCATGGAACTTACAGTGGGGGAACTTGCATGATGTCCCCTGTGAACTTTTGCAGAACATTTTCAAGATCTCCTTTTGTTACCTGGTCTGTGGAAAGAAAACAGTCAGTATGTTAGTATTGATTATTCACATGGCGCTAATGGCATCAATCACATTCTGCAAGCAGACACAAGAGTTCCCACTCTTCAGAATTTAGATGGGGTGAAAAACACCAAAGAAAAGAGATAAAAAACAGATTGTAGGCAGGAATGCGAATTATCACAAAAGGAGTGGAACAAGCTGTCCAAGGTGATCAGGACAATCTGGATACTTTCAGAAGGGCAGAAATCCTCTTTAATGTTTTCTTTTGTAATTTCCCTCACTTGAGGCTGCAAACTCATCTTTATTGGAAACTATATAAAAGCTACAACATTTGGAATATTCTTATTTTTTTAAAAAGCACCAAAAAGAATAAAATGCTCATCTAATCCTGGGAGCTTCTCTCTAAGAGAACCTAACTGCAGGGAAAATTACAACAGATTATTAGAGAACAAAACCACTGGTGTAGAAAAAGACTTTATCTGAAAGAACACATCAAAATTTCCCTGACAAACAACTAACCTGCAAATATACTCTGGGGTATAGTTATACATTAAGTAATGCAGTTGTACTAACAAAATTCTGTAAAAGAAAGACAGCTGGTTTAGGCAATGTACTTTCTTTTAAGAGTACACATAGACATCTGTCCCACTTTTATTGGAAGACTATAACCTAAGTAGCTGATTGCACTGGTCTTCTAAAGCTCTATTCAACAGAAATTGCATTCATCCCTAGTTTTTTTAGAGAGTGCAAACACAAGATTTGTAATCACAATGCACTTCAGTGCATTTCTACTGTCTAGGGTTTGACTAGCCCTGTTTCTCATAAGTAATATTTAATTAGTGTCATCCCTGCTAAGTCAATAGCATTCTGGAACATACACCAACCAAATTTATTTATCAAGCCTTTGTTGTATTTTGAAACGGATATTTACTTGCAAACCTTAAAAACCAGATGTACTTGATGCTGTAAGTAAAAAAGATGAGACTTCTTTTGGCAGCAGCTCTGGGAGATGATCCTGTGGTTCCTCACTTCTATAAAGCACACTTTGCAGCCTCAAGAGAACATGCTGTCCCCAAGCAGCTGTCCCAAGATGTGTTATTAACAGCAAGGTTGCAAAGCACAAGGCACAAAACTCCAAGATGCTGAGACAGACCAATTTACATCAGAATACGGACTAGGAACAACAATATAAATTGTGCAGTTAACTCTGGATCGTCTGAAGAGTTTCTTACACTGTTATTTCCATCTTGTTTCTATTTAGCAACATATCACAACAAAACTACATGGTGGAAAGTCAGCATGACCTGGCCCCATGACAGTGATCCTGTTAGCCTTCTTGTGAACCCCAGGCTGCTTCAGGTTAAAATTCAGTATTTTAGCACAAGTGCCCCTTGGAGTTCTCCTTCCAATCTTCACCCCATGAACTGCATTTGTGGCCAGGGCATTTAATGAGACACCTGAGTTCAGTTCTGGCTCTGATCTCAAAGTTCCTTTGACTAAGAGGTTACATGTGGCCTCTGAGGAAGTCACTCATGATACAGGCAAGCTCTGTCTAAGAGGAAGAAAAAGACCCCATGTAAAGAATGATGCATTAAGCCATTAACAAACAAGAGTTTTGTCGCGTGTTATCAAAGTAAATATTTACAGATGCATTTGCTAAGATCTGGTGTGCTGTTGAGCACTGGTGACTATTGACTGATTTTACTCCTACAAAGGAAGGAAAATAAAGTTACCAAACCAGAAGGTGCCTTTTGTGCCACAATCTCAAAAAGCCTTCACTGAAGGGTGATTCTGCCCTGTGCTTGTTAACAAACTCGCTCCAAAAGAGAACACAAGAATTATCAGTGACAGCGTACCAGAAGTTTAGCAAATGACCTCAATTAAGTCTGACCCAGCACAAATTATTTGAAAACAGACAAGCAGAATCCTGAAAGGACTACACTTTCCAAATTATTCAGGTAGCTTATTAAACATATATTTCAGCATAATCATCAGAGACCTGAGAAAAGCCTCATTAATTTTGTTCTCCATGTCTGAATACAGCCTGTAGGCAGCTGGGAGGAAATGGGTTTCAGAATGTACATTCCTGTACACAGCTACAAATATTAAAAAAGGGCTACTAACATTAATGTGCTCAAAAAAGCATCAGAGGAATACGAAATGCTACTTGCTTCCAAAATCAGCATCTGACAGCCTGGCAGCAGTATGAAAACCATAGCCTAATTTCCCATAGAAATGCAAACTCACTGTCTGGTAAAAAATAAAAAAAGCTACAAGAAGTTCAGAAAGGGTTAAAAGCAAGGAGTTCTCTTCAGTGCATCCTGACATTGTGACTAACTGTACAATTTGCTTCCTAAGCTTCTGTCTAGGGACACTTTGAGGACTAAAATGTAACACTTCCTTACAGTTAATATAGCTAGCAACTTTCTGCAGGCACTCTCCTCTTATGTTCCAATGAAGTCACTCAAGAAAAGTCTTATACAACTTGCAAACTGGTTTAGTGCCCTTTCTTTGCACTAAGGCCCAATCCTGGATGATGTTGGCACTCCAGGATTTATATTCACTTGCTCTGCTTCTCCAAGGATCCCTGTAGGTGTCAAAAGAAAACTGAAATTCAGTTCAAACATCTGATTTGCCTTTTCTTGGAGTACCTATTAGGGTTACAAATTAGGGACGGTGGGCCAAAGACAGTATCCTGCAGAAAACCAAAATGTTTTGGAGAAGACACTGGAAAAGATGAGGAATACAAAACATGTAGGTACCATGGAGAGCAAAAAGGGAGTATTCATGCTTTTTTCTTTCTGAAGAAATCACATCTGACTGATTTGCACCAACATGGAAAGCAACTGAGACCAATGTCACGAGCATTTCTTTCAGCTGTCACTTCAGGCAAAAGGAAACTGAGCCCCAAATAGCCCTGCCCCAGCAATGCCAATGCTGCTCCTCATCAGACCACGTGATGAACTGGACTGTGCAACTGATCTCAGTTTAAAATGACAAGCAACTCATAAAAAAGGGGATATTTTTAAGCCAAATCAGTTCCCCAAGCACACAGCCTAACAGAAAGGTGGTGCACTGAAAGCACGTACCCTAACAGAGGTGGTGCAGAGGTGGGAACTGCTGTAACAGGAGCTGCCAGAGAGAGAAACACACAAAAAAATCCCCATCACTCTAAATTCTGTCTGCAGTAAACACAAAATGAAAAAAGCAAAACTAGTGTTTCATAAAATTTATTTTTATACAGGTAAATACCAAGAAAGGGAATCATCACTTCATTCAACCACATGAGTTATTGGCAAATCTAACACCATGAGGATGCTCAGGCCTCCAGAAGCTTAGAGACTTAGAGCTTAATCCTGAAGCATAAATAAATGATCCAACATCTCTGAATAACACTGCTTAGTAATTAACACTATCTAGAATGTGGACAAGAAACTCATGCTTGCCTGCCTCACGAGAAAAGGAAAACTGCAAAAGAAATGAGATTGGAAGTGAGAAATGAAAGCCAGGCTTTTCATCATGCCATTAAAAAAGATTATTTACTTCATGTACCTATTATCAGGTAGGAAGAATGTCAGACATGTAGAGTTGCTAAGCAACTGGTTACCTATTATTTTTTAATTTTTTTCCTCAAGGTTGTGAAAGAACTAGTAAGAAATACATTTACTGTGTTACTACATTATTTCTAAGATACCCAGCAAAGCCACAGTCAGGATGAGTTCTGAAGCCTTAAACCTTTGCACTGTGCTCTGTGAGTCAGAAAATTTAATTTATTAAAGATGTAAGCAAGGCCAAGATCTGGAAGATAGCCATATGTAGAATGTAGTTTATGCCATCCTCATTAAATGTTAAGCAGTCTGTAGGTGATGTGGTGTCCTAGAGAGAAGATCCAAGTAGTTTATTCCTCCACTGGCCTTAAATGGTTTCACTAAAGAGGACTCCTGGGACTACACTCTGAGAGAGGGAAATGTTACTGGACACAGCACGTCATTTGTCAGCCTGTCAAAGATTTGAAATGACACAGTCTTGCCCAATTCTATTTCCTCCCTCCTAATCTAATGCCTGGTTTGTTTTTTTTCCAGCAGAAATGAACACTTGCGTTGGACATAATTGCATGAAGCTGGTTTGAATTATATGAGCACTGAAGTTGAAGATGAAATAATCTTAGTTTAATTTCACATTTAAACCTAATTCAGAGTCCCAAACATCTCTTCCGCTTTCCTATGACAGAAACCACTTATGCCTTCAAATTGCATCAAGGGTATAGATACATTTATGCTTACCATAAGGCTTTTCTTCAGTTACTTTTCCTGTAGCATCTAAAGTATCAGTAGCCTTGCCCAGCATTCCAATGGCAGTGTACTTCTGGGAAGGAATAAGAGAGATTAGTGAGTCAGGTCTTCAATGTTGTTTCTTAGGATTTTTTTTCTTTTTTTTCTTATTTTTTTAAGATAAAGACTGCAACTACCAATTACTTCAAATCAGAACAAGAAGAATACTGCCTAAGTGGTAAATCCAGCAACTCTGGGTAAGCAAAAAGTCAAGATTAAAAACATGGAATCAACCAAAAAGTAAATCCTGTATTACATGTGCCTGTGATTTCAGTTTTAGAAACCCCAGGAAGAAGCAACATGGAATCTAATTTTTACTACAAACACATCAATACCATAAAGAAAATAATAGGGTAGTAAAATCAAAGTCTCTGTGGGGTGTCATATGTCACGGTTGAAGCAAGGCACAGAGGAGTACCTTTCCCAGACAATTTTTCTGTTCCTTTGCACATAAAAAGACACAAAGAATTTCACTTGTGAAAGCAAAATACTCACTGCCAAGACAAAGCATTACAGTGGTTCTGCCATGAAATGCAGGGATATGCAGTAGCCTGAAGCTGCAGTTTTGAACTCCTGGGATCTGGTAAGGACCTTGTGACCAGCACAAGGAGTTCAAGGTCATTGAGTAACATCTCTGCTCATTTTGAGTTCTCTGAATATTTGTTTCAGGTTTTTCAGGGTTCTTCTCTAAAAAATTCTTGAGTGTATGTGTCTGTAGTTTGGAAGAAGGAATCAACCTGACCCCAGGACAGCAGCTCTTGTCCTTACATTTCACCTGATGCCCTTCTTTCCCACATTTTCACCCTAAGAGCTGCCATGCTCTGAGGATACAGCACAACCTGCTGAAGCTGACACAGGCTTCCCCTGCACCAGCTGCTCCATGACTTGTCACAAAGCTGTCAACACACCAAAGCTCATTCTGTAACATGAATCTGAGCCAAGTTTAGGGACACCATCAATGTTTTGACCCATTGCCTATCCCATTCCAGTCCCCTCAACTTCCCTATGGTAAGTCCACAGGCCTTCAAATAAAGCCTGGGAAAGAAAAATCAAAGTGTTCCTCTATTTCCAGTAAGGTTCCAGTGAACTTACTCCCAGCTGAACTAATACAAATCTGAGGATGTATCTTTTAGAAGCTGGCTGACCAAACTCTACTGGAACACATCCAAACAGGCATAAGCACTAACATTTTACTGTGAGATGCAATGCATCCTGCTTCTTGTACTTGCAAAGTACAAACAAGCTCAAGTAATAGCAGTGTAGGCATATAAATCACACCCACACCACTGGACTAGTAAGACATGCCTTGATTTTGTTCCATGTGACAACCTGCCACATCAATGTATTTCTTCAAGCCACTGCTGCAAAATGGAAGCAGCAGAAATAGTCAGACAAAAGGCAGCAGAGTGCAGACCTGAACATAAAAATAACTGTATTCTTTGCTTATTTCATGTGCTGGGCTGGGAATAGAGAGAATTTTCTTCATAGTAGCTGGTATGAGGCTATGCTTTGGATTGATGCTGAAAACAGTGCTGATAACATAGATGTTTCCATCACATTTACTAAACTAGCTTTATCACAACCCATGAGTTTCACCTTTTTCTGATTCTGTCCCCATCCCACTCCAAGAAGTGAGCAAACTCCTGAGTGGTGCTTTAGCTGCCTGCCAGGTTCAACCACAGCAGCACATTAGGGCCATGTTTTCCCTAAACATTGCAGATGTCTGATAACTGCAAAATTAGGTATTTCAAAATAAAATTCTTCAAGTTTACACACTTCTGGAATTCATGAAAAAAGAAACTAAAGAAAGAATGGATGAATGCTGCTTCACAACAAACATTTAAATAAACTTTAAGGTATATTATCTTTTACTACTATATTAGCTGTTGGGACCATAAAATTGACTGTTTTCTGACGCATTTAATGATCTGGTTCTGAGCATGTAATTGCATTGCCAGAAACACACTATTCAGCACCTAACCTAGAGGTTAATAAAAACACGTGAGCAGATCATCATTATCCTAAGCATGATGAATGATCTTAGCACTCCAGAAAAATTCTAAATATGACAATTTAAAAACTCACACTCTGTCTTCTAATGTTTCCAAATCAAAATACTCATACTACTTCAGTTTAAATTACTTCTTTTCCTTTAATTCTGGTTTTGGTTATCTTGCTTTAGGCTATCTGTTACAATAACATGCTGTATTTGATCTGCCAGCAATAGAGAGGTAACGTCTCATCTCTTAATATGTAAACACGAATGGCATGAACAATACAATCCAAATCTCAATATTTCCCCTTTAATTTCTGAAAAAAGAGCAAAAGGGTTTACAGTTTGTAAAAAGAACGTCCTTAAATGTTAGTCACAAATCCCCATTCCTTACAGGAGCCTTTAAAGATTCACAAAATACTCAAGCCAGCAATGCAATAATCTGCAGAGAAGGCTGTAACACAGTAGGAAATTAAGAATTACAGTTGGTTTATGATCAGTCTCTGGAGTGCCCTTGGCTGTCTAAAAGTATATATCATAATTCTTACTTGTCACTGGATAAGGTTTACTTCTTCCCCTTTGGTAGGATGCAGAACCTGGAGGTTGTAGAAGATAATACAAGAGTCCAGAATTATCTGTGCCAAAACTCAGCATTAAAACTCTTTAGATTCTCACTCACACTGCCCTCAGAAGCACCCAATGGATTCTGAGTCATTTAATAAGTGTTCAGTGACCTTTTCTCACCTGTGTTGGCAATCATGTATTTCTTCCAGTTTTATGAAATACATCTAGGGGCATTTTCCCTGTACTCTCAAATTACACATCACTGCAGGAACACAGACAGAAACTGCTCACAACGCTCTGCCTTCAACCCACTCAACCCAAAACAAAAAAAGCAAGGTAGTAGGTGTTGTAGGCAGTGGCAAAGCCTGACAAGTGCAGACTGTGACAGAAAGCACCCCTATACTGCAGCTCCTTAGAGAACATCCTGCCAGTCAACAGCCCCTACATCCCTGCCCTCTACTCAACTCAAGAGACCAGGACCCAAATCATTTAAAGATGAAAAGCAGCACCTCAACGTCCCTATGGATTGCACAGCATGCAAGTGCAGCACATTAAGAGCTCAGATCCAGCGTTCCCAGTCACAACTTGCAAGTGCTGCAGCATTGTGCCTTAATTCCAACACAGAATGCTGGGCTGGTCCCAAAGCAGAGCCTCACAACTGTACAACAGCACCCTGAGGACAAACAGACCTTTCCAAAACTATCCTGCTTGGGGGAATGGCTGTGTCTCAGCCAGTCACAAAACCATTTTCTTGAAAAAAAAGAAAACCATTATGGCAAGTGAAACAAAAGGCAGCAAAGTGACCAGAAGCCCCTGAGTATAAGCAGCTCCACCATTCCCAGCAGTGAGAAGAAAGCCTTGAGAAGATGCTTTACAGTGACAATCCACTGCACTCTGCCAATGATAATGCACAAAGTCTGTCACACAGACTGGGAGATGTGCTGGATGCAACCCCAAAAAGACCAGACACACAATGAAATGCCTGGGTGGTCGTGCATGTGCACCATACTCATGACCAGAAAGAAATATACCATCAAAAGCCAGTACTGCGTAAAAAAATAAGATTACAGGAATGTATAAGAAACTAAATACAAACTTCTAATAAATCTCACAGGTCTTGGGAAGAGAAATTTTGTTTTAGTGTCACAACAACAGGGCACAGTCAACATTCTCACAAATAACAAACCGTATGTTTACCATAATATTTTTAGTAAGAGGGTAGCTATAATTTGGCATTTTTATTTTCATACCCAGTTTCAGAAAAGTCCTTAGACTAGCACAGAAAGAGAAAGAATATCCATAAAAAGAGAGAGAATAAAGGCAAGATTTTATCAGCATGCATATTTAACTGGGAAAGGGGGAAGAGGAGGAGGAGGAAGAATCCGCTCCCATTTCAAGGGCTGCACAACCCCACCTGGGGGGGCTCCAGGAGGCTGAAGCCCCTGGGCTGACTGCCAGGCAAGTCTGCCTCACTTATCAGTGCAAATGCCAGACAGACCATGCAAGAGAGCTTCTCAGTTTTACGTGTTGAGACATCAAGGTTTTATTTGGACAGAAGCCAGAGACTTGAAATCTTAAATTATAACGTGTTTTAAAAGCTTCTTCATACATGGAGAAGCAACACTTTAGAAGAGCTAGACAGAACCACAAGTAATTACGAAACAAGGTCACCAGAAGCTGTCAGGAAGATTTTTAGATGGCTCCCACTACAAGAATTTCCCAGGCAAGCATGGAAACTTGGAAAAGGCAGTTCATGAGAGTTCATCCAAGGATGACCCATTTTCTAATCACAGCAGCAACTGAACACAGAAGTGCAAAAGGAAAATAAATAAGTTAAGGCTACAATCCCCTGTGCAAGAGACTGAAAGCTGGGAAAGAGAAGTCATATTAAAGAGAAACAGAAATTCAATTTATGTAAACTGATGTCTGTGTGTGGTTAACAAGTTTGAACATAAACAAACATAAAACAAGTGTTCTAGAGAACCTGATGGAAATCAGGGGGAGCACACAGCAGGCAAGCACTGATCAGAATTAGTGCTCCTGTGCCAAAACCATTTGCCCTACACAGATTTGTAGACTTAGGCCACTGAGACAGTGAAGAGGCCTTAAACTCTCAGTTTTGTAATGACAGTCAGTTTGTGTTCAGTGATTTCTAAAGCACAAATAAACAATTCTGGATTTAATATTTACAAAACTTACTTTGCTGTTTGTATAACATTAGCAGCTACCAGTGGTTTCCAGTATGCTAATTATCCACCAAAATGGAGAAGTGCATAAGGTAGACAAATAAGCTGGAAAAAAACCCAAGGGTTGCCATAGTTTCAATTATTTTCCAAAACAAAGCACACTCACTAAGCAGATTCCAATATATAAAAAGCACAAAGCCTTAATCTCTTAAAAGCAGGCTGCACAGAGGGCAAAATAAAGACTACAGGATAAGGGAGGAGTTTCATGTTTTATAATAGAGAAAATTCAAA